TATGCAGCAAAGGCGAAGATAACTGTGTCCACACTGCACCCTGTAAGCTCCAGAGGTTCAAAACACACTTCAGATATTGGCAATTCTACTTAACAGTGTACGAAAGCAGGCTCCCGTAATCTATAATAACCATGGTGTGAGCCCATAAACAAATTATTAAAAAAAAAAAAAAAAAGTAAACATAGCACACTTGTCTGACATGCCTGTGCCGCTTCCGGTCCCAAAGGCCGGAGTCACCTGTGTCTCTTTGGGCTGAGGTCTGCCCAGGACAGGTACAGATTCCTCCTCTGTATTTCCCTCTCCACTGAGTTCTGCCAAGATGAAGACAGGGCAGAACAAATTCTGCCTCACTCAACGGTAACCACACCTCCTCACTCAGCAGGAACATTAGATGTTCTACCGAGTAAGGGACAAAGGAGTCAATAACAAGACCAGGCTCGTCCCTTAAAAGATACACGAACGAACGGGGTATAGCATCTCTCCACCAAGCACGGCTGTCTCACCTGGGCACCCACAATGAAAGTCCGAGTCTGAGAGTCCAGGGTCTTCACCAGGACTTCCAGGCTGTCGGGCTCCTCCATAGCAGTAGTGGTACTATCGCTCGGCTCCATGGCCGACAGCCCTCTAAAGGAAGAACGAGGGAGGTGGGTGGTTCTCTGTCGCCCTCACTGCCTTCTTTTATACACCCGGAAGACTGTCTGGGCCCAACCTCCGCCCCGACCCCTTTAAAAAGTTTCTCATACACAAACACATATATTCATCTTCGCCCTCATCGCCCCTTTTTTGATCCGGAGGCACAGGAAGAGAAACACAAAGGGCAGGAGATGGACGGCATAGGGAGGTGAAGGGCGAGAGGTGGGAGGGGCTCCACAATGCCAATCACAATAGGGACAGCCAGTTGGGCTAGGAATCAGGGAAGCAAGCACGAGACCGACCGGAGACCAGTTGTCATCACCGGTCGCGACCGAGCAAGCGCCCGAGAGATCGGGAAATCCTAGGACAACGCGAGGAAAGGGGGCGGGGGGCGGGGGAGGGTCGCGCTAGACTCGGCGGAGAAAGTGGCTCCGCGCACGCGCGCCACCACGATCGAACCCGCCTAAATCACCACAGACACCCCAGACCGCGGACACTCACGGGGGAGCCCGGACCGGCTCGCTGACCGCCCCCTCCTTCCGCCTCCGCCTTCCGTCGGTGTTCCAGCAACACGACTGAGCCAACACGCGACCAGACACATACAAACACACACACGCGCGCGTGCGCGCGCGCACACACACACACACACACACACACACGCAGAGCCCACCGCCCCGCGGCTCCGCCCCCGACTTCCCCACGGTACCGTCACTTCCGGTCTCCCCCAACCTGGCCCCAAAGGCCACTTCCGTTTCCCCGATCGTATTTGGGGGCTCTCAAGGCGGTACTTCCGGCTTCCCCAGGCTCCCCCCAATTTGCTTTTGAGGGGCACGATGAGAAAGTCCACAGCCCCAGACAGTGAGCTCCTAGGGGGCGAGACGGGCCGGGGCCGGCCTAGATGGGAGGGAGCCGACCACCCCGAGGAGCCGCCGCCGCCGCCGTCGCCCGGGGGACCGCACTGCGCCTGCGTTAGCCGTGCGACGCGTGCGCACACTTTAAGCGTCCCCCCCGCCCCCTCGGGCTGTGTGCGTTTCTTCCCGGCGCGCGCCCTGGAGCGTCGCGCGAACGAGGTGGCTGCCTTAACGCCTGAAGAAAACAATCACTGAGGGGGGTGAATGCTGAGCCTACCTGAAGAGACGCTGGGTTCGCCTGAGTGGGATTTGTTGGACTGCACGCCGTGCGTCTATGTTTGAGACATGTTTGAGACACGTCCATGTTTGAGACACAAGGAAAATGGACAGGCACATCTCTAGCCACCTAAACCTCTGCAGGGCCTCTGGTCCTCTGGTCCTGCCTACGCTTCCGGAAGTTACTCTTACCCCCCTCCTCGGACGGTTGGGGCTCTCTGTAGGTTGTGTTTGATCGCATCGTAGCCGGATTAGGGCGGTTGGGCGTTTTGCAGATGCTGGGGTGTCATATAGGTCTTTGGTTCAGAGCGCCCCAGAGAACTCCATGTTTTAAGACAACTAAGGATTTTACTACTTTTAAAAACTTTGTAATAAAAGGAAAACCTAGGCGGGCGGTGGTGGCGGCGGCCCATGCCTTTAATCCCAGCACTCGGGAGGCAGAGGCAAGCGGATCTCAGTTCCAGACCATCCTGGTCTACAGAGCAAGTTCAAGAACACCCAGGGCTACACAGAGAAACCCTGTTCTTAAAAAACAAAAAAACAAACAAAACAAAAAACAGGTGCCTTTGGAATCAGATTAAAGGACAAGAGAAGGGGTTGAAGGCTTGCCACCAAAGAGTTTGCACAGGGCGGGAGTGTTAGTTTCTCTGCCCTCCCCACTTATTCCCCGGTGTCAGTACTGATGAGAGATCCAGTAAGCGTTGTTTGGTGAGCAATTATTTTGTGCCAGCCTGGATGGTGAGACTTACAAACTGTCTCACTGTGTTTTCCTGAATTGCCTGGAATTCCTAATGCTGGGATTAAAGTCTCATGGCACCCTGCCAGACTATACCAGACTACATTTAATTATGAGCCACGGTCTCAGTGTGTAGACCTGGCTGTCCTGGAACTCAGATAGCAACTGCCTCTGTCTCCTAAATGCTGGGATTAAAGAATTTTTTTTTTTTAATTTTGCAACATTTTTAGGGGCAGGCTGTGTGCCTTGCATCTACCAGAGCAGCCTAAGTGTGGAGAAACGTACTGGTGTCCTCTTCCCACTGTGGGGACCTGGGAGTCAAAGTCAGGTCCTCAGGCTTGGCTTGGTTATCAAGCACAAGGGCTGGAGTGGTAGGGCACTTGCCTGGCAAGCCTAAGGCTCCCACACACAAGTCTGAGCATCAGTCCAATAGAATGACCATGCCACGTTTCTGTGATTGTTTTGTAGCAAGATAGTACCAAGTGTGGCCTAAATGACAGTTGAAGGCACTCTGGCCAGCTTGAATGTGTCCAAGCATGGCTCTGGGAGGCCTTACCCTTCTCATTCCCTCTACCTTGCATTAAAAAAAAAAAAAAAAAAAAAAAAATGTTACGTTTCTAGAGATAAGACACCAAGGTCTGTTCCCTTATTTGGCCACTACGACAACGTCCCCCCCTCCCCTCAGGCTGACTACCAAGGTCCAGCTATCAAAGTATTGAAGTTCAGCAATCAAAAGCCCCCTTTGGCCCACCTAATTAACATGCCCAACTAAAATTTTAACACCTCAACCTAACATTTTCCTATGTGCCACATCTGTCTCCCCTTTGGCCAGAAGCAGTCTATCATCCCACATCCCACACCAAGACAAATATCTCCTACCTCTTTTCCTTGTTTCCTTCCCCTTCTTCCTCTTCTTCTCTCCTCTCTTTCTGTATTTTTGAGATAGGGATTCTCTGTGCAACAGCTCTGGCTGTCCTGGAACTTGCTCTGTAGACCAAGTTGGCCTTAAATTCACAGAGATCGGCCTGCATCTGCTCCAGAATGCTGGGATTACAGGTGAGGGCCTCTACTGCCTGCCTGGCCCATCTTTATTTCTTATTCCCTGCCTCCTGTCATAGTGAAACTTGGCCTTGGGGATGTTGGACTGGTATTTTTCCTTTTAGCAGTGTTGTCTTTCCTCAGCCTTCTCATTACTGAAGGTCTGCACCATTATTCCTCTAAATAAATCACAAACCCCTAGCAAGTCTCACTTCTCTGAAAATTTGTGTCTAAAGAAAAGTTGGAGTTTATTTTTATGTATATTTAATCATGGGCCTTAAGGCAGAGAGACAGGCACTTAAGAAGAGGACAGCATTTATGTAAACAAGTTTCACCTCTCATTGAACTGACAGTTCCACACACTAAGACTATCCAGTGACTGTCTCTTGACATTCCATTTAAATCTTGACAATGCAGCAATCTACCATTTAAAAGTTATTACCAGAAATTACAGTGGGTGTTTTGCAGTTACTTCTGACTTGGTGTGTATATGATTTCATTTAACTGTGACACTAATGGATTGCCCATTCCACAGATGGAAAAAAAATAGAGCAATGAAGAGAGACAGAGAAGGGCTGGAGAGATCAGTGGTTAAGGTCAGTGGTTAAGAGCACTGGCTGCTCTTCCAGAGGTCCTGAGTTCAATTCCCAGCAACCACATGGTGACTCACATGCCCTCTTCTGGCACTGAAGGAATCATACATGTAGACTATACATAAAAAATAAAAGAGAAACAGATTAAAATAATTGTCCCAGGAGGCTGGGTGTGTGTGTGGATCATTGCTATTACTGAGCATGCCTGGTATGCTTGAAGCTCTAGGTTTGATCCCCAGCATCAGGAGAGAAAAAAAAACAAAAACAAAAAAACTGTCCCTAGCCCAGCAGTGATGGTTCATGCCTTTAGACCCAGCACTCAGAAGGCAGAGGCAGACAGATCTCTATGAGCCCAACATGCTCCTCTATAGAGTGAGTTCCAGGACAGCCAGAGCTACATAGTGAGACCTGTCTTGAAAAAAGAGGAAAGAGAAACCCATCATGCCCCAGCGACTGGCCGGCGCCCATTCTAACACTTATCAGCATGTTTTGCAATGATTTGTTTGTAAAGCTGTTTTTCTGTTTCTTAAAAAGTCCCCCGGGATTAGTCAGTTCCTGACAAACAACTGAAATTCCCAAATTCACCAAGTGAATGAATGAAAAACATAACCCAGTCACTTCTCCCCAGTGCCTCACAACACCACAGAGCTTCCAACTCAGATACAGGTTGGAAGACTGTAGGCTTCTACTGTAGGGCTCAGCTGTCCTCCTCAGGGTCCTCAGGGTCACTGGACATGCCAGGATATATTGTAGAGTGGTTGAAGCAGGAAGAGGAGAAGGAAGGCTCAAACACTGCGGTTAATCCAGGCTTGGGTTGGGAAACAAGGCTGAAGTTACTTATTAGCAGGTGAAAGGGTCAAGGGTCGAGACAAGGGGCCCAAAAGCAGAGTAGACTGAGCGGCCAGCAAAGAACAGTCAAGGCAGAAGTCCTCACCTGCTGAGCACCAGCTGTCTCCTGCCCGAGATGTTCCACCAAGTTTGGGCAGCTGTACTCTACCTCTATGGCCTTCTCTTCAACTCCATGAACCAGTGCCCTGAGCATGGTCAACTAACAGCGCTGAAAGTGGGCGAGAGAGAGGTACAGCTGAGGCAAGGGAAAGAAAGCCTGTAGCAGGAACTGAAAGTCTTGGGTGGGTAGCTCAAGATGACCAGAAGGCATGGGAGAGGAGGAGAGGAAGAAGATGTGTAGAAGGCAAAAGCTAAAATTCACTGATGGCTCCCTGCTGCAAACAAGCAGGGCCACCAGAACCTGAAGCCCTGAATCTTGGTCCAAGCGTGGACTGATGGCAAGACTGGGTGAGTTTTGGCCCTGCTAACTCATCCTCTTGTTCCTTTTACCGCCTCTCCAGTCCCCAGAGCCCCACCTGGGCCTGTGGTACTTCATTGCAGGAGCAGCCCCCACCAAGGAAGAGCTGGCTACTTTCGACTCAGTGGACAACATCATCTTCAACATGGCTACTGGCTCCGCCCCAAGGCAGCTCCAGCTTGGTGCCGCCATCCGCACGTGAGTATTGAGGAGGCAGAGGCACCACTGGGTGTGTTCAGTGTCCAAACCAGAATTGAGCTCCAACACTCCTTGCCCACTGAGCTCAGCAGCTTATAAGTCACTTTGTGCCAATGGAACCGGCCTAGCTAACCCTCAGTAGCTCAAAACCCAAAGAGCTGGGCCTTGGGGCCTCAGGAAAAGAGCAAGATGGGAAAAAATAAGTAAAGGTTGGTAGTGTGCGGTTGGAATGACACTCTATCTTTCTACCTTGCCACCACCACCTCTGCAGGAAAAATGGGATCTGTGTGCCCCGGAAATGGACATACCACTTAACTGAAGGGAAAGGAAGCACAGACCTCAGAACTGAAGGTTGGTCCCCACCAGCCCGTCCTCCCTGTCTTCTCAGAATTGAGGATTGAACCTAGGACCTCTTGCATGCCAGGGAAGCAGCCCATCACTGAACTATATTCCCAGAGCCTTTTTAATCTTCCTAACCTTACCCTGATGGTTACTGAGCTCACCCTGTAGTCCAGGGAGGTTTTGAATGTGAGATCCTCCTGCCTCAGCTTGCTGAGCAGCTACACTACCTATCATTCTTGACTCAGCTTGTCCTCATGCTCCTCTCACAATCCTGACAGGCCGCCCTGACATGAAAACTGACCTCTTCTCCAGCTCATGCCCAGGAGGAATCGTGCTGAAAGAGACGGGCCATGGTTACCAGCGCTTTCTCCTCTACAGTGAGTGGGGATACAAGGCAGGAAGTGCCCAGCCCAAGGGAAGGCTAAAGGGCCTCCCTTTCAGGGCAGTATGGGCCTGTTCACCAGGTCCTTTGGGAATGGGGTGGGGGCAGGGCTGAGATGCAGGAATGTTGACTGGCCTGGGGTGCTCCCTGTCCTTCCAGATCGATCACCACACCCTCCAGAGAAGTGTGTGGAGGAATTCCAGTCTCTGACCTCTTGCTTGGACTTCAAAGCCTTCTTAGTGACTCCCAGGAATCAAGGTGATGGGTGGGAGTCACCAAGGCTTCTGTGGAGATTGTAGAGCTAGCTCAGTGCAATGTCAGCAAAGGCAGTGGCTGAAGGTAGGCAGGCACCCTCAGGATGGGAGCATTGCTCCCCCTAATTTTCACAGGCTAGAATGGCACCAGAAGGACTTGAGTAAGAGATGTGGAATCACCAAGCAGGGCTCTGGGTGACTCGAAAGAGGATGTGGGGGGCTGGGGAGATGGCTCAGAGGTTAAGAGCAAGAGCACTGGATGTTCCTTCAGAAGTCCTGAGTTCAATTCCCAGCAACCACATGGTGGCTCACTACCATCATAGTAGGATCTGATGCCCTCCTCTGGCATAAAGGTGTATATGCAGATAGAGCACTCATACATAAGAGAGAATTCTTTGGTTAGGAGTAGTGGTACATACTTATAATCTCAGCACTCAGGTGATAGAGGCAGAAGAATTGCCACAAGTTTGAATCCAACCTGGCCTACACAGTGAGTTTCAGGACAGCTAGGGTTACAGAGTGAGACTGTCTCTCAAAGTAAAAGTAAAAAGAGAACAGAAGATAGGTTTCTGAGTCTCTAGAGTAGTGAGTGGTTCTCAACCTTGCTAATGTGGCCCCCCCAGCCATAAAACTATTTCTGTTGCTGCTTCATGACTGTAATTTTGCTACTTTTTGAATCATAATGTAAATATCTGATATGCAGGATATCTGATATTCAACCCCTGTGAAATGGTTGTTCAGCAGCCCCCCTTCTGAATGGGTCACACCCCATAGGTTGAGAAGAGAACCACTGCTTTAGAGACCAAGGGAGGAAAGGGCCATCTATAGAGAGAAAGGTCTCCTTACCCACCCACCCCCATTAACTGGACTGCTTCCCATCCTCTGTTCTCTCCCTCCTCCCATCACAGAGGCCTGTCGGCTGTCCAGCAAGTGACCCTAAGTTCATCCGTGTCCTAGACAGCCAAGCGGGAGCTGAGCTGTAAGGGGAGACGCTGGAGATCCTCCACTCCCTCTCAGTAATAATAAAGATGGTTTTCCAATCCTCATCTCCTGGGTTTTGTCTACAGACATCGAAGTCATTTCTCTGTTTTGACACTCCCCTCCCCCGCCTAATACCCCCAGCTGTTTGGCATCAGGAAGGACACTGCATACAGCACCTCTCACATTGTACTGGTATATTTAGCATTTAGTGTAGCACATTTATTGCTGAGTGAGCAAATCCCTAGCCAGAGTGGAGATGACAGACACCATGCTGCCCCCGTCAGAGCCCTTCTGAACTGGTCCTCACACCAATGTGGCCTGCATCATCCCTGTCTCTTCCAGAATCCCACAGAGTACCAGACCCTCCCAGCGGGTACCAAAACACCTATAGCCCCTTCTAGAATTCCAGTTCCTCCTACTTCACAGCCTCACTATCCTCTAGATGGCTCTGGTCAGTCCTAGGATCCAAGGGACAGTGTGGATCTCCCTGTCACCTCTTCATGCAGAGTTCTCTGCCCTGCCTCTGGCCTTGACCACCTCTGGTGGCTGGAAAGGACCAGTGGCCTTCATTCTCCACCATCACTTTTACTTTATTTTATTTTTGCTCTTAAAAAGTGGAGGAGGGGGAAAATTGGAGGTGGTAATTAAAAAAAAGTGGATACAGTAAAAGGAAAAAATAACAATAGCTGGCGACTCAAATGCTGATGCCCCATTATCCATTACTGGACACCCTGAACAGTCCCATCTGTCACTAGTATGATAGGGCTCCTGTGCCTTCCTGTTCCTGAGTCTCCTCCCGATCCCTGAGGTCACTGTGCTTACAATCTGGGTTTTTTCACCTTCCTCCTAAAGGCCACACCACTATCTTCACCCTTTGCCCCCACCCTCACCCAGTCACAGCACCCTTCCTGGACCTTCCCTAGGCTCCTTGACCTCCCTCCCTGGCCCCTCACTCTCCCAATCAGTGGCCTCCTCATCCTCACTAGGTTCCCGGAGGCTGACAGCCAGGACCAGGGCCTGCAAGAGGCCAAAGAGGCAGGCAAAATGCAGGGGGTGGGCAGTAAGTAGGCTCAGCACAGCATGGAGCCCATGCAGGGCTGCCAGGAAACACAGTAGCCCGTGTAACCAGAGGCCCACAGGTCCTCGAAGACCCAAAGCGTCCAAGACAGCTCGAAGTGGCCTGGAGCACAGGGCCAGCAGGGCCGAGGCTAGTAGCTCCAACAGGTGCAGGGTCAAGTTGGTAGAGATCTGCAGATACTCCTCTGGGTCCCGCAGGTAATGTGAGGGAGCCCCTGGGTCCCCCCGTAGCCAATGCAGCAACTTCTGACGTCGATCAGGTTTCTCCAATAGGGCTTCTGGCCCAGTGGCGTCTTGTCCCCTTTGTGGGGGCCCTCCAAGGTTCTTCTTGCCACCTGAATCCAGTTTGGGAACGGGTCCTCCAGTCTCTGGTCTTGCAGGCTCTTGAGTGCTAGAGACAATCCTGTCCTGCTTGAGGGAATCCTTTACTTTGCTCCCCGGTTGATCCACTTGGTCCTGCCTGCTCATCACCAGAGCAGCCCCAGGGGTCCTCGGTTTCCCTGAATCCTTGGTCTTGGGAGGCCCCGCATCTCCCATTGTCTCTGGAGCACTATCCCAGTCACTGCCTGAATTCTCGGGGGAGCTGTCCACCCATCTGGTTTCTGGGGCAGGCAATTCCGCCTTTGTTGATTTCCTGCGGCCCCAAGGTCGAGGTAGCCAGCCACCAAGCCTTCGCAGAAACATGACTGAACTGTGTAACCAGCCTCCCCAAATCTGAGACCGCTTCCTGACTCTGCTTAAGAAGCCGGAGTCTGTTCCGGTTCGGTTCGGAATAGGTATCTGCTTGGTGATATCGCTCTACTCTGAATTCAGAAAGAGCTCACGTAGTCCCATGTGTGGTAAATAGCCCGCTTCCTTGTCAATTTAGGGGAAAATAAATCCATTTACTACCCCACACACAAGACTTCAAGGGCCTTATGAGGCCAGGGTCACCCCCACAATATTCTGTTTTCAGATTTCCTTCCCAAGCAGTCAGCACCCTAAGTTTCACTCACCAAGGCCACACCATAAGGTGCCCCCAAAAGGGGGGGGGGAGGTGATGTTCCATCGAAGAAGGAAGGAAGGTGGCCTAGAGTCCTCTGGTACTGAATTTGAGGAGCCTTTAAACCTCTGCCCAAGGGATCTCAGGGAACAGGAAGTCCCGAGAGAGAGGAAGACGGGATGAAGTGTCCAGCGAACTCCAGCCAGTTACACACATTCCTTAACTCAAGAGGCTATCGTTCTACAAAGTGCCCCACTGTCCCGCGAGGGCGCAGCTGAGACACGGCCTCCGCAAGGTCAGAACAGAGATGTCCTTGGAGATGGCTGTCCCGAGGCACAGTGCAAGCCCACCTGGGGACACCGGTGTCTGGGTGCTACGCTGCGGGAAGCTCCGGGGCCCAGCGTCCGGGGAGCGGCCTCCCGGCGCCGTGCGAGCCCGGAAGCGGCTGTACCGGGTCGGGAGGGACCGGCGGGGGCGGAGCCCCGCAGCAAGTGAGGCGGACCCGGCAGAACGACCTCCCCCGTAGCCCCCGCGATCCACTAGCGCAAGCGTAGAGAAAGGATCAGCTGAGCCAGAACCTGAATACAAGCCCACCTCCGCTTCGGTGCTTCCGTCCTTGGTTTTTGTTTGTTTTAAAAGACAAGAGTCTCCCTATATATGTAGCTCAGGAAAGACCTAGGCATATATAGCCCAGGCTGGCTTTGAATTGGTCCTCTGCCTTGGCTTCCCTACGGTTCTTCTGCACATCCCCTGCCATTTTTCCGTTTCTCACCTATGACTTCACATAAAGCTGGGAAATATTCCAGAAAGGGAAATATCAGGAGCTGTAGCTGGCTTAAGAAGCTGCCTTTTGCCCTAGGTCACTACACTAGAAAGCTTTAATTTTGGCATTCCAGAGGTAGCTGGATCTACACAGCAAGTTTGAGAGCAGCCTGGTCTACATAGCAAGATAAGACTGTCTAAAAATAAAACAAAGATCATCTTAAACTTTATATTTGAAAGGTCAGAGCTCTGGTCCTGGCTAGAATGTCATACAGATGGGATGTTAGGTCACACTGGCCATTCCTGCAGGACTTGACTTCCCTGTCACCAGCCATTACACTTAAACACAACTGGTCTCAGGAATTAGAACTTGAGGGTTTGTTTACTGCATATAGCAAGCCTGGTTTGTGACATACATCATTGAATTGACTGGATTGGCCCAGAGACCCACTGAGAGAGGAGTCTTGCACAGAACTGGGCAATTCCTAGTTCAGAGGGATTTCAATGTAGCCAGGAAGGCTAGGGATTTTGTCACCTGGAGAGTTTGCCCTTTTGGCTTGGGTGAGGCTTCCTTGTGACCCAGATTTGCTCCAATGCTCTACAGTATCATGAAAGAAAGTAAACAAACCACAATGAAGAAAGTTTATTTCTCTCTCAGCCCTTACTCTCTAAAAGCAGAGCCCACAAAACCTGAAGTTCTGGCATCTGGGCAGATCCCAGGAAGTAGAAGTCCAAGTGCCCAAGCCAGGGATCCAAGTCCAGTGAGTCACAACAGGACAGACTGCACCAGTCAGAATTCAAGGTTCATGTATAATCTCAGATTTCGTTCCCAGGCTCTGCCCTTCTCTTCTCTCTTTCTGCTCTCCCTCTGACTTAGTGTGGCAACTCGAGGTACTCTTTCTCTCCCAGACACAGCCCGGGTATCCCGAGCTGGGAAATGTGTGACTCGGGGTTGGGGTGCAGATCTATAGCCCAGCCCTTCCTGGTCCCGCTTGAGGATAGTGGGAATAGGGTTGGCGCGGCCTTCACCCCGGGGTCCTAGCCCCATTCCTGGTTCCCAGCCACCCCTCAGCAGCAGCCTGAAGCCAGGACTGGAGGTGGGCACCCCCAGGGGAAGGTTGGAGGGCTGGGGACTCCTAGATAGTGACAGCAGGTGAGCAGTAGATGTGTGGTGGTTTGAATCTTCAAAGTAGGCACCACAGTCCTTGCAGAACTGGGAGGAAGGAGGAGACCTGCAGAGAAAGAAAGAAGTTGTAGGGAAGGGAAGGGAGAACAACAGAAGCCTCAGCTGTTCAGAAATCTGGCAGAGCAGGGCAGCATACTTTATGCCTTCCTTCTAATTTTAGCATCATCTTTTTATCTTGTGTTGGAACAGGCACCCCAGCATCTTCCCAGTGTTAGCCAAGTGCTCCACCACCAAGCTACACCAGCCCTTCTCTATCTGTCCAGAAGAACTATTTGGGATACTGTGAGGTGGGCCTCAGCTCTCAGGAATAATGAGCAGAGCTGATGTTTATGAAGTGCACACTATGTGACAAACACTGTTCCATCACTTTCCACATTAACCTACTGCTTCTTAACAACCCTCCGAGAAAGATGCTTATCCCCATTTCTCAGACAAGGGCTGAGGTATAGAGACATTAGGTTGGCAGTGCAAGTAAACGGAGCCAATGCACAAAGACCATGTCCATTGTCACTCTGTGACATGACATGACTTAACTATACGGGAGAATGAAGAGCCCTCTGGTGTGGGGTGTCCAGAAAGGAGGAACACAATAAAGGTGGGTGTGAGCGAAGGTTCCCTTCTCACCGGCTCTGGTTCTCAAGGCTTCTTGTCTCTCCATGACTCTCTCTGACCATTCGGGCTACCTCGGGGAAGCCTGCTTCTTCGGCTAGCTGAGCTGCATCTCTGCCTCCCAGCTCACAGACTCCTACCCAGGCAGCCCCTCGGCCCAGGAGATAGCGTACAGCAGCCGCCTGCCCCGCTCTGGCTGCGCACATCAAGGGAGTCCACCAGAAGGCATCATGCGCATTGATATTCCCTCCAGCTCCCCCTGCCTCTTGGGGTTCCAGCAGCCTTCGAAGTTCCGCCAGATCCCCATTCTGGGCTGCCAGCAGGATCCACTGTGTCATCTTGTCCTCATCCTCTGGTGGCCTTCCTTGCCCCGAGGTTCCTGCTGCCACTGCTGCGCTCCTCACTCTTCTTTTCTTCCGTTCCCTTACAGGGCCAGCGCTATGGGGCTTAGGGGAACTACTCTCATCTGCAATTAGAGCCTCGTAGAAAGCCCGGGCTGCAGTCCCATCCAGCACAGGCTCTGGCTTCTGAAGCTGTGGTTGCTGCTGCCCATCCTTCCAGAGGTCGCTGGAGTCAGTGGCTGGAGTAAATGTGATGAGGGATGGCCTGGACATGGCTTTAGGGAGAAACGAGAAAATAAAGACTGGGCAAGGAAAGGCTGTGACAGCACCACCCCCGAGGCCTGCTGGGATGAGAAAGCAACCTAGAAAATGTACCTATTCCCACCCCAGGACCTTAGGATCTTGTAGACCACTGGAATGACAGAACCTGCCCAGATGTTAATAATGTCAAGAGGGCATGGTAGATAAGGTTCTTTGTAGAATGCTTGCCTCGTATTTGGGAGGTCTGGGTTCTATCTCTAATACAGGAAAGAAAAATAATAACAATAGGAAAAAAGTATTCCACCAGACAGTTGTCTAGGGGTCCTGCGATCTCATCCCATTTCCCTTCAAACAAAAAAATAGGCAGGCTCTCTCTGAAAATATTTTCCCATCATGTAACACATACCGTTAGGAAATATCGTCTCGGCCTTTTAAATCTTGCTCGATCTTATTTGGGGGTCTCCTTTTCCCAAAGAAAAACAGGCCTGACATTATTCTGGAAGGTTTCGTGGCAAAAGGGTTGCACAGTCACTTCCGTACCGAAAAATGGCGCTCTTGTAATCTGCAAGAGTTGACAAAATCATATACCCACATGGTATAAAGACGCATGCGCAGCAGTTGCCACAACAAAACACCCACAAGGTTCAGCTTCCCGCGCTGGAACCTTTCCAAGCATCCGCGTCAGGCATCGCGTGCACAGACAGCGCGAGGACCCAGGGGGACCTGTCGGTTGGGGTCCTACTTTTACATAACGCCCCCACAATGCTCTTCGCCACCCTCGACGTGGTCCCTCCCGCTCCAAGCTCCTTTTCTGGAGCTGGGAGGCCACGCTCTGCGCTAAGAAAGGCCCTGAGGACACAAAGGAGACCCGTGGAATGCTGAGGAGCTGGGAGATGAAATAACATCAAGGTGCCCCTCATCACTACTCTGAGCAGGGTTCGAGGAACACATTTAGGGTCCTCAGCAAGAACGCTCCACTCAAGCACCGAGGAAATGGAGAAGTGCAAAGGGACGAGCGGCAGAATGGCTGGCGCCACCTCAGGTTAGCGCGCAGGGCGGTCCAGCAGGTTCTCACGCCGCGCAGTTCAGCTCAGCCCAAGCACACCCGACCTAAGTTCCGTACCACCGAGCCACACCTCTAGGCAGGCATGCCTGATCCTGAGCGAGCCCTGTCGCGGGCCTGACGGGAGAACCAAGGTCCTGTGGGTTGGCCTGGGACGGTGTCAGTCCCCGGGGCAGCAGAGACGACCAAAGCGGAACAGTGAGGGCGCACAGCGGGGACGAAACCAACCGCAGGCACCAACTAGCAGCCTAGCGAGCCTCAAGCGCGTAAGACTATATATCCCAGGCTTCCCGATCGGGGAGGCTGCTATGCTTGGCTTCCGCTTCCGGTGGAGGCTCGGCCCGCCCCCGGGCGGCTTCCGCTAGGGGCTCGCGACTTCAGAGTCATACGCGGGGACTCCTGGGATTGGTAGTTCACCTTTCCCCCATCTCGTCAGTTTCTGCCTCCCGACGGGACTCCATTTCCCGGCGTTCATAGAATTAGGGGTGGTCCTTAGCGCCTGCGCGTTGCCCTCTTACCCCCACCCTCACCAGTTTCCACTTCCCCCCTCCTTCCCACTTCGCCTGCCGCGGTCGGGTCGGCTTCCTGCGCTGTAGCGGTCGCTGCGGTTCCTTCGAAGCACAGCTCCCCTTTCCCCGCCCCAGTCCCAGTCCCCGTCCGGCCGGTGAGTCGGGAGTTGTCTCTGCGCCGCGTCGCCGGTCCCCGGGCGCGGCGCTCGGTTCTGTGCTCCTCGATGTGGGGGCGAGGAAGGAAATGACCGGGTCGGGAGCCGAAGGAGGGTGTGTGGCCTGAGGGGAGGAGGCGGCATGCGGGGCCGCTCGTGAATCCCACAGGAGTGCGGTGCCCTCGCCAGCCCAGCGAGGGTCGGAGAGGACGGTTCTGATGGGGAGGGTGAACTTCGGAAACCTTGGGACAGGCGCCAGGAAAGTGCAGGCACCTGCGGCGGTGGGGAGCCGGAGCCGAGGCCCCTGCTGCAGCTGGCATGGGGGCACAAGGGCCTGGCCTTCGGGAACGCCAGGGACCCGGGTAACACTAATAGATCGGGACCTGTCATCCTCTGGGAAGTAGTGGAACTCGTTCTCACCACACTGAAAGGGGGCTGGGGTAAAGAAGGGAGGCGGGGGGGGGCACTTAAAGTGGCCTCGGGTTCTTCCACCGTTGAGGAGAGAGTGTGGGAGGAGGGAAGAGACCAAGAAACAGCCTGGTCTCCACTTAACTCCCTTCTTTCTCAGCCGACGTAAAGATGAGTAGCTCTGAGGAGGTGTCCTGGATTTCCTGGTTCTGTGGGCTCCGTGGTAACGAATTCTTCTGTGAGGTGAGTTTTAGCTTGCCTTCTTGGCCAACTTAACGTGCCCTCTATGTTTACATTTTATGTTGTCTGAGGTCAGATTTCATTCGAAGCTTACTATGTAGTCTAGACTGGCCTTGAAGTCCTGGCGATCCTACTGCCTCAGTCCTCTAAATACTGGGGTTTACAAGGGTTGGTCACTCTATGCATGGCTCACAGAAGTATCTCTGGTGACCATTAGGAAAATGAAAATGTTTCATGAAAACCACAGTGTGGTAACAGGAAAATATCAATGCCTCTCAGAGTCTGATGTCCCAGAGCAAAGGGCAAATCTAGGTCCTGTAGAGGAGGGAGAGAAATTGAATAATATCTGTGCACTGTACCTTGTTATCCCTGGAAGAAAAGAGCTGTGGTTTCTATGGCAGACTAAACATCTCTGCAGAATTGGGAATGGGAAACAAGGGGAGCTGATTAGTTGTTCATCTCTTGGGCCCAGATGAAAGACAGGATTCCTACACTAGTTTCAACCTCTTGACTTCCCTGTCCCGGTAGGTGGATGAGGACTACATCCAGGACAAATTTAATCTTACTGGACTCAATGAGCAGGTGCCTCACTATCGACAAGCTCTAGACATGATCTTGGACCTGGAGCCTGGTAATGCGCCTGCCCCGAGAGTTGTTGTTGCTGAGTGTGGGGTCTGTGATAATGTGTGTGCTTGTGTGCGCTTTGGTTTCTTTTTATTCTGGTCTCTGCTCGCTTGCTTCTTGGATATTTCTTTTTTCTTTTTCCTTTTTGGTTTTTCAAGACAGGGTTTCTCTGGCCCCTGCCCCTACCTCCTGAGTGCTGGGGTTAAGTGATTGTGCTGCTACCACCCAACCACTTACTTGTTGAATTTCTAAATTTCCTTTTGATTCTCCAGCTCTCCTATCTATCCCCTAGTCGCTGGCTTGCTTGCTTGTTATGTGTTTTCTCCCCCTGCTTTATCCCCTCCATTTATAACCCAAACTGAACTTTACCACTTGCTCTTCTTGCCTTGGCCTTCAAGTGCTGGTAATTATGGCACACACATGAATGTTTTGACTCCCTACCTGACCCTTGCCTTATGGGATTGGTAACATTTGTTCCCATGCTCTCCGAATGTAGCTCCATTCCCTTCATCATGCTGGTTCCTTGGTGGGTTTTGTGCACTGCTTCTTTTCTCCTTCCTGACTAGAGCGCCACCCTCTGCATTTATATTTATGTTTTTGGGAAAGAGAAGAATCAGGCAGAGACTGGACAGGCATGGAGAGAGGACAGTGCTGGTGCCTGGGTGATGGATAGGGTGTGGCTTAGAAACAGGTGCTGGATAAACTGTAGGTGGCCACCTTGGGGATAAGGTGGGGTACAAGTAGCCATCCCACCTTTCAGATGAAGAGCTGGAAGACAACCCCAACCAGAGCGACCTGATTGAACAGGCAGCGGAGATGCTTTATGGATTGATCCACGCCCGCTACATCCTTACCAACCGAGGCATCGCCCAAATGGTGAGGCTCTGCTCCTCCTCCTTCTGAGGCAGTGAGGCAAACAGGTGCATGAGTCAGAAGGCATGTTGCATACCTGTCCAGAAATCTAGCAGAGGAGACAAGGAGAAGTCCAGAGCTGGGCTGAGAATCAAATCCTCACTGAGGGTCTTACTGAAGATATTGTTTTCAGGGAGGGAGATGAAACCATGGACAGGAAGGAGTTTTCAGGGAACAAATAGCAAATGGCCCTTGTGTTCTGCAGCCTACAAACTTGAGAAAAGCAGCTGACAAAGAAGGGGCTTCTAGTTAGAAGTGGAAGCATGGGAGATGGGAAAATGAGTTGCTCTACTGACTCACTCACCAGTCCCTTCCATTTTACACACCTCAGTTGGAAAAGTACCAGCAGGGAGACTTTGGCTACTGTCCTCGTGTGTATTGTGAGAATCAGCCGATGCTTCCTATCGGTGAGTGTCGGAAAGGGGAGAGGAGGGCAGTACTTGGTAGTCCTCCAGAAAGTCAGGTTGATCTGGTCCTATGGGATGTTGGGAGGAGTTGGGGGTACCTGGTCTGCAGAGTCTGGCTGTCTCCCAGGCCTTTCGGACATCCCAGGCGAGGCCATGGTGAAGCTCTACTGCCCCAAGTGCATGGATGTGTACACACCCAAATCATCGAGACACCATCACACGGACGGCGCCTACTTCGGCACTGGTTTCCCTCACATGCTCTTCATGGTGCACCCGGAGTACCGGCCCAAACGACCTGCCAACCAGTTTGTACCCAGGTGGGGAGCAAAGACAGTCACAGAAAGTCAGAGCACGATGCAAGATCTTGGGAGAATTGAGGAAAAAACAGCCCTCTCTTGAGGCCCGTCTATCCCAAAGTCGGCTTTTTCCTGCTAAGTGACTAGGGACGTTACTTGATTGCTTATGCCTCTGTTTTCTTATGCATAGAGCAGGGATGCTGACAATAGCTTAACAATGACTTAAACAGTGGCTATTGCTATTCTTATCTTAGATATTAACTTTTTACCAAAATCCTCAGTTTTTTTGGTTCAGTATGGCATATCATCTTTATTTTTACTATATACCAGGGAAGATCCCATTGTACAGGTACTAATCTGTAGCTTCTCAGATTTGAAATTTCCTGTGTGGGTTGGGGGTTTAACCCAGGGCCTCATGCCTGCTAAGCACAGACTCTCCTTGAGCTATACTGTCATTGTGGGGTTTTGTTTGTTTGGTTTGGGGTGTGTGTGTGTGTGTGTGTGTGTGACAGAGAGAGAGAGAGAGGTGGGGGGGCTGGGGAGTGTTTGCCGGGGTCTTTGTTGGTTGAGTTGGCCTCAAGGGATCCTTCTGCCTCTGCTATAAATGAGACTACAGACCTGCATCACCATTATCTGGCCTGGAATTTGAATTTTAGTTGATGTTTAAGATACAAGATACATTTTTAATAGAGCTGGAGAGATGACGCATTGGTTGAGAGCAGTGGCTGCTCTTACAGAGGTCCTGAGTTCAACTCCTAGCAACCACATGGTGGCTCACAACCATCTATAATGGGATCCAATGCCCTCTTCTGTCGAGCAGAGGAACATGCAGACAGAGCACTCATATACATTAAAAATACATATATATATACATATACACACACACACACACACACATTTTTAAGCTGTGCATGACGACACATACCTTTAATCCCAGTACTTGTGATGCAGAGGCAGGTGGACCTCTGCATTTGAGGTCAGCCTGGTCTATAGAGTGAGTTCCAGGACAGCCGGGGCTGTTACACAGAAAAACCCTAACTCAAAAAAGGCGTGTGTGTGGCATACATTTTCAAGTATTCGTGGAAAAATAATCAAATATTCATGAGCAAGGAAGTTGGGGGACTATTGAGTTGGCATGAGGAGGAGGCTAGGGTAGTGGTGGGATGCCAGTCACTGACAGGGCCAGAAGGCAGCTCACCCTGCGCCTCTCTGACCTCTGCCCGACCCAGGCTCTACGGTTTCAAGATTCATCCAATGGCTTACCAGCTGCAGCTCCAAGCCGCCAGCAACTTCAAGAGCCCAGTCAAGACGATTCGCTGACTCCCCACCCACCTTTCCCTCTATCTTGGACACCACCATTCCTTTGCTGCCACCCTTTCAGGAAGTCTATGGTTTTTAGTTTAAATTAAAGGAATTGTTATTGTGGTGGGAATATGAAATAAAGTGGAAGAAAAGGCCGTGAGCTAAGTCTGCTGGTGCTTGTTGCTGGGGAAGGGCTGAAGAGGGAAGGTGGTAGTGTGCTGGACTCCAGGACCCTCATAGCCTAGTCCATCGTCCTTGGGTTGCAGATAGCACAGCTTCATGAATTTGGTATCATTAGTTAAATATATCAGAGCAGCATTCTAGATTGGGTAGGGGCAAGTACAGGATTGGAAAGAAAAGACTTCAAAGGCTAGAGAAACATCTGCTCTCTTTGGACTCTGTGGCTATGTGTATTTACTGTAGGGGCTTCATAAGAAATACTCTGGGTTTTGCTATTAAGGGAAATGTAACCCTACAGTAAACAGAACTGAAGGGAAGGCAAAGAGCCACAATTGTTGCTCTACTATCTATGTGCCCCCTGCTGGGAGAGCTGAGACATGTCTGCTGGAAAGGATGGGAAGGCTTCCCAGCATTAATGGGAACCAACCCTGTTGTGTAGGTGGACAGCAGGTAGTGCTGGAGACAGACCCAGAGCCGTGGCCCTGGAAGTTGGGCCACGGTCTTTTAGGGCATGTGTAGGATGAAGATACCTGATAAAGACCCAGCCAGTGCTCAGCTGTTGCCCATGTGGGAACCAGACCTTCTGGGTGAGGACACGCCTTTCTTTCTGCCAACTGAGGATTAAAGACTGATCCCAGGAAGGTGGGTTTGGGGCTGTTCCTCTTCCCCAGAATTCCATAATGAAGGCCTGTGTGCTTGTAGGTGTGATGACCATAGTAGGCTTTGCAATGAGAAAAGGTAAGTGGGGACAAGGTCTGGGAGGAAGGGGAAACCGAGTCTGGGAAGGGTAGACCTGGGCCTCATTTATTCCTTTGTATACCAAGTTCCAATTGCTGATAATGTGTCTCTTGTAATACCCTTCATGGGACTTCATTTCTAGCTCAGAAAAGTGCACCATCAGCAGTTCATCCCCATGCATGGTTAGCCCCATCCACCACAGAAAGTCCAGGGAAAGGGCTGCTGGAAGAACAGTGTGGATTGGTCTTCTGCCTTGTGAGGGTGGTTGGGATCTTGGAAAGGGTATGCGTATGTGCAGAGAAGTGAGTGAATATTTTTAGCCTCTTCTGAGAGTACATAGGATAAAAATCTGGTCTATATGAATGCTGGGGAAAGTTAGCTTTAGGGGCTGTGGGAAGCTATTAATAGGGATTATAACTTTCCTCTCCCCTCAGGGGTGTGAAGATTCACTTCAATGTATGAGGCTGTGGAGAGTACACTTCCTACCACTGTAAAGAAAAGTGCATCACTACCTCCCAGACTAGTGGTATAAGGCTGACTACTGTCAGTACGATTACTGCAACACTTGGCCCAGTGCCTAGCTCCAGATCTCTGCCTGGGCCCCCGAGAAGACGCCTGGCCTTGTCCCTGTCCCAGATATACCAGTTCACCCAGGCCCAGCCACCCTGTCCTGGAGCTGGGTATGTCCACTGTTGACCTGCGCTAAATAAACTTGTTCCCCAGCAGTTTAGGACTTGTGTTTCTTCCCCAGCCTAGACCCTGACACGCTTCCCTTCCCAGATTCTGCTCTGCAGTCTTGGAACACTCTGATCCCTGTGATCTCCTAGGCCTCCTCCTCTATATTACCCAGCTTCCAGATGGCACCTGGGTCCCTGGGTGATTGTGCTGGCTTGTCTCCTTACTGTTCAAGAACCTTAGGTATGGCTCTTGCTCATGCATGTCACTGTCTTCACGGACCCCCAGTCTGGTCATGTGCCACATTCACTCAGAACTGGCTCTTTATCCTATCTTATGCTCTGAGCTTCAGTGCCAAGCTACAGCAGGAAGGGCAAAGGGTGGAATTCTGTGCAGATTTGCTGGTGTGGTAACTTGTCGGCTGTCTCCCTGACCACCTCACTTCACCTAACTGTGTACCTGGTCAGGGTTCAGGGGGTGCTATTCTGCTTAGCCATGCAGTCCTTATTTCCCTCCATAATAAACGAAAACTAGGCTAAATCTGTTGTGTGGGAAGTTGGGAAGGGTGAGGTTCAGATGTGGGCAGGTGTAGCCAGGTCAAAGAGATGTGTGGGATTCAAACAGGATTGCCAGCACATACTTGGTGTTGGGTTTTCACCTAAGGAGAAACTCAAGTCCACAACCACATGTATTGAGCAACCCTGTTCTTTTCAAGAGTCCTGGCACCTTGCAGCATATGCAGTATGCTAGAGGGTGCAGCTAGCCCTGCAGGTCCCTGGCCCTAGGGGACACTGACCTTGGGCACTGGCCCTGGGGGACCCCGGCCCTGATCCTGGAGGGGCCTGGCCCTGGAGGGTTCTGGCTTTGGGGGGCCCTGGGCCAAGGGGACACTGGCCCTAGCCCAGGGGGACCCTGATCCTGGCCCTGACCTTGACCTTGGCCCTGGCCCAGGGGGACCCTGATCCTGGCCCTGACCTTGACCTTGGCCCTGGCCCAGGGGGACCCAGGCACAGGCCCTGTACCTGACTCTGGGGGATCCTGGCCCTGGCCTTGGTTCTGGCCCTGGTCCAGGGTGACCTTGGCCCTGGCACTGTCCCTGACTCTGTGATCCAGGACCTGGCCCAAGTGGACCCTGGCCTTGGCCTAGTGGGACCCTGGCCCTTGCCCTAGTACTGGTCCTGTTCCTGTCCCTGGCCCTTGGTCAGAGGGACACTTGCCCTGGCCCAGGGGGACCCTTGCCCTAGTACATGCCCTGGCCCAAGCCCAGAGTGACCCTGACGGGGCACTGCTTCTGGCCCTGGCCCAGGTCCTGTCCCATCGGGAACCTGGACTGGTCCTGTCCATGGTTCTGGCCCAAGGGGACCCTGGCCCTGCTCCTGGCCCTAGCCCAATCCAGGGGAACCATGGCCCTTGTCCTGGACCTGGTCCTGGCCTTTGATCAGGGGAACCCTGGACCTGTCCCTGTCCCCCAGGGCAGGGCCAGTGCCAGTGTCCCCTAGGGCCAGTGCCAGGCCCAGGGTCCCCCATGGCCAGGGCAAGGTCCAGGGCTAGGGCCCGGCCAAGGGTTCCCCAGAATTAGTACCTGTGCCAGTGTCCCCCAGGGCCAGGTCAATGGCCAAGGTCTTCCAGGATCAGGTCCAGGGTCAGGACTAAAGTCCCCAGGGACAAGGCCAGGGCCAGGGTCCTCAAGGGCTAGGCCCAGTGCCAGGGCTAGGGCCTGGGCAAGGGTCTTCCAGAGCCAGTGCCAGTGTCACCCAAAGCCAGTGCCAGGGTCCCCAGGGCCAAGGGCAGAATCCCCCATGGCCAGGGCCAGAGCTAGGGCCTGGTCATCCAGGACCAGGGCAAGGGCCAGGGCAGTGTCCTCCAGGGGCAGGTCAAGGGCCAGTGCTAGAGACAGGGCCAGAGCAGGGGTCCACCAGGGCCAGTACCAGTGACTTCCAGTGCCAGGGCCATGGCAAGGGTTGACCAGGGCCACGGTCCCCCAGGATCAGGGCCACGGCCTGTGCCAGGGGCACATCTAAGGACTTCCAGGGCCAGGGCCAGGATCAGGACCCTGGCCAGGGCCAGGGCTAAGTTCCCCAAGACAGGGCCAGAGCCAGGGTCCTCCAGGGCCAGGGCAAGGGCCAGAGTCACCCAGGGTCAGGGCCATGGACAAGGTCTCTCAGGGCCAGAGCCAGGGCTAAAGTCCCCAGGTATCAGGCCAGGGCCATGGACAGGGTCCCCCAGGGCCAGGGCCAGAGCCAGGGCTAAGGTCCCCAGGTACCAGGCCAGGGCCATGGACAGGGTCCCCCAGGGCCAGGGCCAGGGCTAAGGTCCCCAGGTACCAGGCCAGGGCCATGGACAGGGTCCCCCAGGGACAGGGCCAGGGCTAAGGTCCCCAGGTACCAGGCCAGGGCCATGGACAGGGTCCCCCAGGGACAGGGCCAGGGCTAAGGTCCTCAGGTACCAGTCCAGGGCCATGGACAGGGTCCCCCAGGGACAGGGACAGAGCCAGGGCTAAGGTCCCCAGGTACCAGGCCAGGGCCATGGACAGGGTCCCCCAGGGCCAGGGCCAGGGCCAAGGCCTGAGACAGGGACAGCGACAGGACTAGGGTCCTTCAGGGGCAGGGGCAGGGTCCCACAGGGTTTCTCAAAGCCAGGGCCAGGAGCAAAGCCAGGGACAGGACTAGGGCAATGTTCCCCCACGGCCAGCGCCATGGACAGAGCAAGGACCAAGGCCAGGGTCCCCCATGGCCAGAGACAGAACCAGGGCCAGGATCCCCCAGGACCAGGGCCATGGCCAAGGTCTCCCAGGGCCAGGCCCAAGATCAGGCCCCTAGACAGAGCCAGAGCTAGATCCCCAGGGACAGGGACAGAGCCAGGGCCAGGGTCCCCCAGAGCCAGGGCCAGGGTCCCCAGAGCCAGGGCCAGGGTCAGAGCTATGGACAAGGTCTCCCAGGGCCAGGGCCAGGACCACCCTAATTAGGGGAACCAGGAACAGGGCCAGGACCGGGGCCCCCCTCCCTAGGGATACCAGGTCCAGGTTCAGGGCACCGTTGCTCCCAAGAGGCACCAGGGGACCCCTCTTCATCCCCGGGCCCTGTCCCTGGCACCCCTAGGGAGGTGGTCCCTGGCCTTGGGCATGGCCCTGGCCCCCATAGGGAGGTGGTCCCTGGCCCTGGTGCCTCTAGGGAGGGGTCCCTGTCCCTGTCCCTGGCACCCCTAGGGAGGTGGTCCCTAGCCCTGGCCTCGCTCCCCTAGAGGGTCCCTGGCGTCCCTAGTTGGGCCCTGGGGCCCCAGCCCTGGCCTTGGCACCCCTAAGGGGGGCCCTGCCCTGGCCCAGAGCCTGGCGCACATAAGGGGGGCCTGTCCCTGTCCCTGGGCCTGGCACCCATAAGGAGGGCATTGGTCCTGTCCCTGGGCCTGGGGGTCCTAAGAACCTCCTGGCCCTGCTGGTCCTGGCCCCTCTGGGGGGGGTTCCTGGGCTCTGGCCTGGAGCCCCCAGGGGGGTCCTTGCCCTGGGTCTGATGCCCCACAGGGGTCCCTGGCAATGGGTCTGGCGACCCGGAGGGGGTGCTGGCCCTGTGCCTGGTGCCCCAAGTTGGAGGACCTGGCCTTGAGCTTGGTGCCCCTGGGGGTGGGCGCTCCTTAGGGGGGCCAGGGGCCAAGGCCTGGCACCCCTAAGTGTGGCCCAGACCCTAACTCAGGGCCTAGTGCCCCTATAGGTGGCCCTGCCCTAACCCTTGCCCTGGTGCTCCTAAGTGTGGCTCTGGCCCTGACCCTGTGCCTGGGCTTGGCTCCCCTAAGGAAGAACCTGGCCATGGCCATCTGCCTGGTGCCCCTAGGATATCCCTGGCCCTGGGCCTGGCACACTCAAGTGGAGCCCTGTCCTTATGTCTAGCACCTCTAAGGGGGGTGGACCTAAGTAGAACCCTAGCCTTGGCCCTTGGCTTAGCACCACTAAGGGGATCCCTGGCCCTGGCCCTGGGACTAGTGCCCCTAAGGGGGGCCCTGGCCCTAGCCCTGGGACTGGCACCCTTAAGAAGGGTCCTGGCCCAGGGACTGGCAACTCTAAGGGTGGCCCTGTCCATATCCCTGGGCCTGGCAGTCTTAAGGAGGCCCCAGGCCCTGGCCCTGATCCTGGCCCCCATAAGGAGGGCCCTAGTCCTGGCCCAGGCCCTTGGCCTGTCTCCCTCACTCATTCCAAGGGTTTAATAACCACAGCTTAACTCTAACTTCTTGTTCCCTAGGCTTGAGGTCAGGAGTAGCCACACCTCAGATTCAACTTCTCCTTCCTTAGCCTTGACAGTCAGGAGTAGCCACATCTCAGATTTAGGTCTGTTGTTATTTAGACTAAGATGGCCGAAACATCCTTCTATATCTACACCTTTGACATTTAGGTCTTGTGACTTGCTGACAGCTTTGAACTCTGTACTTGTGCCAAGATGGAGTGCAGCCATCTTTATGGGCACCCACACCTGGCCATGGGCCTGGTTTCTCTAAGGGGAACCCTGGACTTTTCCCTGGGCCTGGTTTCTCTAAGGGGAGCCCTGGACTTTTCCCTGGGCCTGGTTTCTCTAAGGGGAGCCCTGGACTTTTCCCTGGGCCTGGCTCCTCTAAGGGGGGCCCTGGACTTGGCCCTAGGCCTGATGCCCCTAAGGGGGACCCTGGCGCTTGCCCTGGCCCTGGCCCTCCTAAGGGGGCCCCTGGCCCTGGTACTCTATGAGTTTGAGACCAGCCTGATCTACATAATAGCAGGCCATAGCCAGAGCTACATAGTGAAAGTCTATCTCAAAAAAAAGTTAACAAAATAACAACAACCCAGACCTCCTTTCTTTGTTATCCCCCCCCCACCCAATGAAATGCATCCATTTAGCATATATCTAAATGGCTAACCTGTACCCAGCACTCAGTAAACCTAATTTACATTTATGGGTGAAGTGGAAGCTCTACATCCCAGACCTGTTAGAACAGTCTTTCCTCTTTGACTTAGTTATTTAGTATCTCACCCCATTGTGGTAGGATCAAAG